TCACTGACCTCTGTGTGAGGGGGCCGATGGTGTCAGATAGCAGCCACCCTCGCCCCTGCCTCGCCTTGCCCCGCAGCAATGGCACCCCTGCCCTGCCTCACCTCGCCTCACCCTTCAAGACGAGTCCACCTTGGTCACACCTCCCAGTCTGCCATGACCACCACAGCCATGCCCACACAGTGGGCATGCCCACTGGCACCCGGCAATAAATAAATGGGTTTGGGTTGTCGTTTGGGCACTCGGTCTCTAAAAGGTTCGCCATCACTGGTATAGGTGGTATCTTGCTCAATAGTAGTAACTGTGAGGGATCTCAGAGTCCTAGTGGACAACACTTAAACATGAGCCAGCAGTGTGCTGCAGCTGCCAAATCAGTCAACACAGTGCTAAGCTGCATTAACAGAGGCATAGAATCAAGATCACGTAAGGCCACACTTGGAATACTGCATCCAGTTTTGGTCACAGCGATATAAAAAAGAGTACAGAGAAGAGCAACAAAGATGGGGACATATAAAGAGCCGTTGCTGGCATTGAGTATGTCTAGTTTAATGAATAGAAGGACTAGGGGTGACATGATAGCAGTGTTCCAATATCTCAGGGGTTGCCACAAAGAAGAGGGAGTCATGCTATTCTCCAAAGCACCTGAAGGCAAGGCAAGAAGCAATGGTTGGAAACTAATCAAAGAGAGAAGCAACTTAGAACTAAGGAGAAATTTCCTGACTGTTAGAACAATTAATCAGTGGGACAACCTGCCTCCAGAAGTTGTGAATGCTCTAACACTGGAAGTTTTTAAGAAGACAACCATTTGTCTGAAATGGTATAGGATTTCCTACCTGAGCAGGGGGTTGGACTGGAAGACCTCCAAGGTCCCTTCCAAATCCTCCTCCTCCTCCTCCTCCTCCTCCTCCTCCTCCTCCTCATCATCATCATCATCATCATGTTCTTATATCAATTCATGTACTACATTCTGTTTATTTGTCAGTTTTTAAATTTCTGATATCTGAGAATCTTGAGTTCCATTTGATCATGACTTTCTTGATCTTTCTCTTCTTTTACTTACATTTACTCTTCATATATTTGATTAGTGAATTGATCCTCATTCATTTGCTCTGTATGACTGATCATACACTTTTGTATTCAATCCACATTCATTCAGTACCCATTCCATTCCATTCCTAATTCTATCACTTCTTGTTTGACCTCATATACTTTCTATGTAACCCATTCTTGTTATATGAAATGTATTTTTATGTTTTTCTTCATTTACCCAATCCTAACTTCTGTAAATGGGCATTTTATGTACAACCATTATATTTCTTTCAACTGATATTCATATATTTCAACTAAATTCATTCTGACTACTACCATTTGACCAGCATTTTGACACAAATACTTTCATGGCATTTTTGCATCCATTTCCTCATATTTAATTATTTTCTACCAAGATGCGCAAATATATTTATCTGATATAATTTTATTATTTACAATGGTGCTTAAAGGTTTGTGAAACTTTTTGAATTTTCAATATTTATACATAAATATGTAACCTAAAGCACAATCTGTTTTCCACAAAAGTCCTATAACTAAATAAAAAATTATTTATACAAGAATTAATATGAATCAAAAACATTATTCATTTCTTCACTGAAGAAAATGTTTTTTAATTTTTATTAACAAGGCTTGCAAGATTAAATATTCATTTTTTAAACTCACACTGGCTTTATAATGATAATTTGAAGAAAGATCATTTCACCATATTGAAGGTTTTATAGGTGCACATAGACTATTTTCATAGCATAATACACATAGCGTTAAATACCTATATATCTGTCAAGTATCATCTGCACTGACCTTGTGTGAAAACCATAATATTATAATGATTTGCTTTAGCAATTAAATGGGTTAGCACAATTTATTGTACAATCTTAAATTTTGATAAGTACTCATTAAAGCCTGATTGATTTTGGGATGTTCTGTCTATCTATTTAATAGTATGATCCTTGCTGGAAATGTATTTCAAGTTGTTGTTAAACACTTTATAGAATTCTCTTTTTAGGGTTAGGGTTAGAGAGAGAATGTATACGATAACTGAATTTATGAAATTTAATCTGCAAGTTCACCTAATTTCAGTTTTGAATGTACGTACAGTATGTGAGAACTTCAAACACATTGGTTGTGGAGGGCTACATGATGTTCAGATTTGGCTTTAAATTTGAATATGTCCAATTATTAATTGAATGCATTCATATTTCAGATAGTAGAAGGGAATGGAATTTTTCATAGACTAATTGAAAAACTAATTTTCTGCTTTGTTCTGTGATACATGCATGAACTGATAATTTGCTGATATGTTGGCATTGGTAGCAAAGTATGTTGTCAGGTCACACTGAGTAAATATGCTATATACTAGCAATATTAAATTTGCATGTTAAATGCGGTTACTCCGTGATTTATGATCACAGTTGGGACTGGAATCTTGGTCATTGAGCAAAGTCATTGTTAAGTGAGATACTCACATGACCGCTTAAAAAGCAGAGTCAGTGTGGAATGAAGTCATTGACCAATAGACCAGCTCTTTAGTAATTTCTTTCCAGATAAGGAGAAGACTTGAGATATCCTAAAATGTTCCGGACAACTATTTACTCAAGGTAGATTCAAGATAGCAGTCTCCAGCAAGTTTAAAGATTTGGGACACAAGGGAGTAGGCATCTTGCCCAAACTGCAGTAGCTGCCTTTGAAAAAACATTAAGTCCATATACTTCATTTTCTGATCATTTTTAGAAATAGTTTGTTAACTGTTTTTTATTTATTAGAAACGTTTGGATCAAGCTTTATAGCAGTTGGTGAATTTCCTTCAATTGTTTTCCAAAATAAAGTTTTAGCCATTTTATTTATTTTATAAGTTTATTTATTTTATAAGTTTAAGAACTTATAAAATATTTTGGAAAAAACAGAAAAATTAAAAATTTGATTTTAGAAATTAAAACAGATTAAGACTCTAAATGAATTTTAAATAAGATTTTGGAATTAATTATAAAGAATTCTTCTCATGGAAAAATTCCTTTGGTTTGAATAAAAAACATAATTAAACACTAGAGAGAACTAAGGATTACAATTAAGGGAGTATGCATAAGCTGGACTTACAATTATTTTTGAACAATGGACTCAGAACTTAATTTTAATAGTATCAACAGACATCTGCCTCTATCGAGAGGCTATGTCTAAAAGATGTTATGGAAAAGGAACAACTTCTACTTGATAAAATCAAGATTGAGTTGAAAGTGAATTTATAAATGACAGGTAAAAATTTCCTGCAAAAAAGATATTACACTGCACATATAGTGCCGTGATGTTTTAATAATTAAAAGGGATATACAAACAATAAATCAAGAGAGTCACCTGGATAATTTTCTTCTATTGAATTTACAAAAGAATCTTGTTAACTTTTTGAAGAATCTTGTGAAAAAGAATAAAGCAAAAATGAAAAGAAATCAAGTTCTGAATGGATTAAGGTTAAGATTGTTAGAAGTAAAAAGGAAGGAATATAAAGTTGATTTATTTGATCAAGGTTAAAATAGATATGTTGTTATTTCTTGTAACCCTTAACAGAATGTTAATGATATCAGGACTGAAATGATTATCTTTATGGATTTGTTTACAGGTAAAAGAGATATGGGAAAAAAGGATAATTTGTTGTATTTTAAAAGGAGATGATATATTACTAAAATTGCTTATACTTGTCATGAAGACAGGAATTCACACACACACACACACACACACACACACACACATTCTTTACTATATTTTTCTCTTTTTTTAATTTGTATTTGTTTTTATTGTTGTAATTATAATTTTAATAAAATTGCTAAAATATTTTTATGGATTTTTTGTTACTGTTTAACAGCCTTAAAATGGTTTCAACATAAAATCACTGGTTTGGATACTGCAGTATTGAAACATTGAGTAAATTGTTTACTGTGACCCAGGGGTGTCAAACTCAATTTCATTGAGGGCCGCATCAACATTGCAGTTGCCCTTGGGGGTGGTGGGTGGTGGCCAGGGTGGGTGCGGCCTACTAGGTGGCCGTGGATGGAGTAGGTGTGGCCTATTGGGTGGGCATGGCCAGCTCTACATCATTTGCATCAAGGGTACCTGTGGGTGCCTGGGCAGGAGTGGGACAGATCTGAGAGTCTCTGGCAGAAGTGGGTGGGACTGGGCCAAGCGCCAAGGCATGGTCCATTTCTTCATTCATCACAAAGGGTGACACCTCTCCAACATGCACCCAGGGGACGGGGCCGATACGGCAGGGGCTGGTTCCTCGCTGTTTCTAGATGGCCTTGTGGAGCTAAGACTGAATGCGTTTCAGCATAGATGGCCACCACAAAATTGTACATTGGCTCCCGGCCAGCCAGGGCCAAGGCAGTGGGGGCTGTTCCCTCACTGTTTCCAGGATGGCTTCGCGGGCCACATGAAACCACTTCGCGGGCCACATCCGGCCCCTGGGCCTTGTGTTTGACATGTCTGCTGTAACCAATTGATTCTAATAGCCACATTTATTCTTTTGATATGATTGTTTCTGGAAGAGATAACCCAGGAAGAATAAATTTTCTCTTTTTTTATATAATTGGGGAGAAATTTCACTAATTTCTGCTTCTGTGGGTTCAGCTATATGTAAAAAAAATACAAAACAGTGATGCTGGGGCATCCCAATTTTTAGAAGATGTACAAAATATTACTATGTTAAAAGCACTTTTTAGAACAGAGGTTCCCAACCGGGGTGCTTGCACCCCTTGGGGGTGCGAGATGATATTCCAGGGGGTGCAGAAACATGGGTTTTCAAAATTATAGTGTATATGCATAATTTCAAACTTTTTGTAAGGGGTGCGAGAATACTGTATATCAGAAGCGTTCTAGGGTACGGGGTATAGAAAAGGTTGGGAACCATTGTTTTAGAGAAAAGTATTGAATACTTCTTTTAATAGATTTTGCTTTTTGTCTTTCAGCGTCTCTCTTGAAAGGTCTCAAACATGCTAATATTGTGCTGCTTCATGATATCATCCATACAAAGGAGACACTGACACTGGTATTTGAGTTTGTGGTAAGTTTATAAATTTTTTTTTTTTTGCATTCTATAACCTAAGCTAGGACAGTTAAAAACAGAATGGCCACCACTGGATAAAAAAAAAAACTGTATAACTTGCTTAATTGTTCATTGCTGCTGATGTTGTTTGGAGTATAATATAAAGCAGAGGCTCCCAACTTTTTGGGCACCAAGGACCGGTTCTGTGGAGAAAGATTTTTCCACGGACCAGAGGGGGTGTGGTTTCGTGTGCTACTTGCATCTAGCGGATGGGGCTTTGCTTGTTTGCACAGCCTGGTTGCTAGTATGCCACGGACTGGTGTCAGTCCGCGGACCAGGGGTTGGAGACACCTGATATAAAGGATATTTCATACTTAAAATACTGTGATAATCATTTCAGATGTTGTCGTAAATGTTTTTTTCAGATGCATGAGACAAACTTGTTACAACTATCTTGAGTCTTTCCTTTCCCCCACTCTACTATTTAGAGATGTATAATTCCTATAATTGTACTCATTTTTATAGTATGTGTTCACTATCTGCAAACTAAAACTTTGCTTTTAACTGCTTACTAGATAGTGATAAAAGAACAAGAACTTGTATTTTGCACGAAAGGAGAGAGTAAAAATAAATGATAATCTCCCTAATATGAAACTAACATAAAAATATGCAAGATTTTTCAAGGAAAAATGGAGAGTTGGCCTTTCTTTAGCCACCCCTTAGCAACCTAGTAACTTTTTTTTTGCAAGTTAAAAGCTTTATTCATTTATTTACAAGGAGTCTGTTATATAGCCCTGAAATAATTGAAATCTTTTTAAGTGGACTGTTTGGTAATTTTGATAAAAAATATACCATGATTGTAGATTCCAGAAAATATTGTGAGATTTGAAAAGGAATTTACAAGAGTTCAAAATTGTGTTTCTTTATTGCATCTGGAAATTCTCTTTTAATCATTTGTACAGTATCAGAAAACGATAGTAAGGGTAATTTATATTTCATAGCTTCTTTTCTATCAGTTGCATTTCAGCTATTAATTAAAATTTCAGTTTTCACAGTATCCCATTTAATGATGTAATTCTTTTCAGAGAATCATTTTATGAGGTTTGGATTTAAGCTCCTAATTAATCATTCTACATTTTCCTAAGAGCATCATATGGTATTTATATAACACGATTTCAGTATTTAGCTGCAGTTATTGAATAATGAGTAATTATAATTAATCCTCAAATTTCTACAAATGGAAAAATAATATATAATTTATAAGAAAGAAATTAATTTCAACTAGATTTAATTTTTGAATAACATAATTTTTATAGTCAATAAATCTACATAAATAAATAAATTTGCATTTATATATATATATATATATACACACACACATATACACACTTAATTTTACATGCTATTTTTATGTGGAATCCTCTCCTATTTTACTATAAACTGCTTGGATTGTCAGAAGGACTAATATTTCTATGATAAGGTAAAAGGATATTGTATGGCCTAGAGATGGGAAAAGATTACTCTATATACAGATATCAAAGCAGGGAGATGGAAGAGAGTGTGCTAACAACTGCATCATTACATTAGCTCACAAGTACTGTAGTTTGTGTTACAAAGAAGTATAAAGCCAACAGAGGAAAATGCCAAATTAAAAAAACAGGCTAAACAAATGTTTAAAAAATTTGCGTAGTCCTCAATTTGTGAAGTCCTCAATTTGTGATCATTTGCTTAGTGATGGTTCTAAATTATGACAGCACTAAAATGATTTATGATCAATATTGCACTTATGACCATTTCAGTGTCCTTTTCATAGTCATGTGATTAACATTGGCAACTGGCATGTATTTACGATAATAAAAGTCTATTCGGGTTCTTATTTGCAATTCTTCCCAATTGGCTTCCAACAAGCAAACTCAATGGGGAAACCTGGATTCACTTAAGGAAGTTAAGTTAAGATAGGCAAGAAAATGGTAAGTGAGCACCTGTCCAGCCTAGACGAATTCAAATCAGGACCAGATGGATTACACCCCAAGGTTCTCAAGGAACTGGCAGATGTGATCTCAGAACCACTGAACTATATTTTTCAAAGATCCTGGAGCACTGGGGAACTACCAGAGGACTGGAAAAGAGCTGATGTAGTTCCCATCTTCAAAAAAGGGAAAAAAATGGATCCAGGAAATTACAGACCTATCAGCCTGACCTCAATACCTGGGAAGATTCTGGAAAAGATAATCAAACAACGAATCAGCGAACACCTACAGGCAAACCAAGTCATTACTAAAAGCCAACACAGGTTTGTCAAAAACAGATCATGCCAGACAAATCTTATTGCATTCTTTGACCAAGTGACAAAATTAGTGGACCAGAGGAATGCTGTGGATATAATTTACTTGGACTTCAATAAGGCATTTGACAAAGTACTGTAGATCACAACCTACTACTTGATAAGATAGAAAAATGTGGGTTAGATAGCATCACCACCAGATGGATTCGTAGCTGGCTGACCAGCCATACTCAGCGTGTGGTCCTCAATGGAACCATATCTACATGGAGGGAAGTGTGTAGTGAGATGCCCCAGGGCTCTGTTCTGGGCCCAGTGCTCTTCAACATCTTCATCAACGATTTGGACGAGGGGATAGATGGGGAACTTATCAAATTTGCAGACGACACCATGCTGGCAGAAATAGCCAACACTCCAGAAGACAGGCTTAGGATATAGGAGGATCTGGACAGACTTGAATATTGGGCGCTATCTAACAAAATGAAATTCAGTGGTGAAAAAAGTAAGGTTCTACTTTTAGGCAAGAAAAACCAAATGTACAGGTATAGTATAGGGGGTACCTTGCTCAATAGTAGTAACTGTGAGAGGGATCTCGGAGTCCTAGTGGACAATCATTTAAATATGAGCCAGCAATGTGCTGCAGCTGCCAAAAAAGTCAACACAGTGATAGGTTGCATTAACAGGGATAGAAACAAGATCACGTGAAGTGTTAATACCACTTTACAATGCCTTGGTAAGGCCACACTTGGAATACTGCATCCAGTTTTGGTCACCACGATGTAAAAAAGATGTTGAGACTCTAGAAAGAGTACAGAGAAGAGCAACAAAGATGATTAGGGGATTGGAGGCTAAAGCATATAAGGAAAGGCTGCTGGAATTGGGTATGTCTAGTTTAATGAAGAGAAGGACGAGGGGGGACATGATAGCAGTGTTCCAATATCTCAGGGGCTGCCACAAAGAAGAGGGTGTCAAGCTATTCTCCAAAGCGCCTGAAGGCAGGACAAGAAGAAATGGATGGAAACTAATCAAGGAGAGAAGGGGGATTTCAACCTGCCATCGGTGGGCGAGGCGTCGGCGGCAGCTCAGGAGTTCTTGGCTTCCATGACGGCCTTGGACTTGACCCAGTTGGTACATGCCCCCACTCACACGGGGGGACACACACTAGATCTAATTTTTATCTCTGGCCAGTGGCAGAATGATCTGGAAATGGGGGAGGTAGTTATTGAGCCCCTGTCA